AGCGGCGGCCCGCCGTGGAGGGAGCTAGTGGATGCAGACTGCAGTGCGGGAGGAGCGCGCCGGCATGGCCCTGCCCGGGGCTCTGCAGGGAGGGCCCTGGTCGGCGCACGCTCTCACATCGACCCCGACTGTCCTCCGCTTGTTCTTATCCGGTGCTGGGTGCGCGCTCCAGCCTCACCTCTTATCTGCAGAGCTCTCCGCTAATGAAGCCTCTATAAACATCGGACCAACACGCGGGGCTTGTGGGAACGCCAGGCCCATGGTAAGGAAGCTGGTTTCTGTGGGGGTCATCGCCCTCTAATTAGGATCCTCTCTCATTTCCTTGCCCAGCTCTGTCCAGAAGACTCCCCAGACAGGATGACATATGCTCCATCCTCTGGGCCTTGGGAAGAAAGGGAGACAAGACCCCAAAGTCCTCCAAACATAGAACAACAAACAGGACTCCGGGAAGACCACAACCTCAGGGCCAGGACACGCGGGGTGGTGGGACACCTATTCTTGTGGGATCCGACGGCCAGTGTGGCACCTCTGTGCCAGCTGCTGGGCCAGCCCTTGGGCATTGGAGAGCCTGGTGAATATGGCAGGGGGTGGTCAGCATGGTGATGCAGACCTTGGAGTCGAGGCCAGAGGGCAGTTCAAATCCCAGCTCCCATGTGGGTCACAGCGAGTAGCCTGCAGCAGGTTACCTTGGCTCTTAGAGCCTACTGATGGGAGGCTCTCACGGCATTCGGGAAGTCCGTGTGTGCACACCCAGGGGTCTGTGAGCTCCAGCTGGGTGCACTGAGCCTCTGCCCTGTGTCCCCCACCTTCCAGGACTGCTGGCAACACTGTGACCTGCTGGCCTGAACCCCAGCTCTGAGCTGGCCTGTGAGGGGATCTCCACTCAGGTCGGCTGGGTGGCCATGTGCCCCTATGTGTCAGCTGGGATGATGGGCAGCCACAGAAGCAGAGGAAGAGGGAGTTCTGAGACCGGTCCACACCCGGGGACAGCACCCAGCCTGTTAGGGCAGATGAGCTGGGGCCCACGGAGCTGCCCCCAGGGCCCAAGGGCTGTGCTACTTCAGGAGCAGTGCATGCACACAAGGACCTATCTGTCCCCATCACAGGTCAGAACACCTGGTGGGAGTGTGCATGTGTGTGTGTGTGTGTGTGGGTGGTCTACTGGGAGGGCCTGACCATGACACTGTTCCACACTGATCAGCTCCTGGGCAGAGGTTTCAGAGAGCCCATCCGGTTCTGGGAGACTGGGAGGGACCATGTCAGGCCACTGCAGGGCTCTGCGCGGAGACCTAGGAGGGGCAGGGTGAAACTGCAGCCCGAGGGGCAGGCCTGGACAGAACTTGCTGTCCCCATCCTTTGGGAAGGCTGCTGGGAAGGGGCAGGAAGCAGCTGGGCACTGCTCCAGCTCACTGTGAGAATGCCATGGAGCAGGCAAGGCGAGGTTGTGGTGCAGCCGGGGGATGGGGCTGCAGCTGCAGAGAGTGCAGGCGGGGCCTGGGGACCAAGGCAGACCTCACAGCCTGTGCGGGACCTGGAGGCTGGAGGCTCCTCGGCCTTTCTGCTCCAACGAGGCTGAGCGAAGGGACTGCCTGGAGCTGGCCTGACTGTGTGGGGGAGGCAGGAAGGGCTGTTGCCTGGTTACTTTAAATGGGACACATCCTGTCTCCCAGTTGTAATGGTGGCGTGGAGTGCGGGAAATTCGGACATTACGAAGAAGGAACTAAAACTGACCTCACTCCAGCACCCACTGTGCCCACAGTCCACGTCTGCAGACACGCAGTTGCACCCTGTCGCTGCAGCTTTGTAGGCGAGGTTTCCGTTACCCCCCAGGAACTGCTGTCTGAGAACAGGTGGGCGGGCATGGGCAGAGCTTTTGAGAGAGAGAACCTGTGTCCCTGTCCCACACGTAGCTGCAGTGTTTCCGCCGTGCTGTTGCCGTTCGTCTCTCTGGACCCACTTTACAAGCTGACCCTCGTGGTAAGGGGGTCACTTATGAGAGGAAATGACATTGAGCTGAGCCAGTCGTTTCAGGCACCCCCAGGAAGCCTTAGAGCACACCCCGCGGCCAGGGGTCTGTCACGCGTTGCACCACAGACCCCTGCCTGAAACCCTTGGCCAGAACTGTTTTGGATTTAGAAAGTTTCAGGTTTGGAGACTTTGGTGCGTTTACTGCAACGTCCCTAAAGGGGTCGGAGTAACGCTCTGTGATCAAAACCCCAGCTAGAAGACGCTCTACATTTCAGATGGCTCGGGTGCTGGGGTGCTGCGTCTGGGTCACTGCCCTGGCTGTGAGGGCCGTGTGTGTTTCTGGAATGATGTGCCCCCACAGACTTAGGCTGCTGGTACATTTCACTTCTTTATGGTTTGAGTTAATGGCTTGAGGCTTCCTGATCCATATTATCAGGAAATCCTTCTCCTCCTTTCCTGTATTGTCTGAGTACCCTAAGGGTTTGTTGAGCCCGAAGGAAATGGTGGGACAGTGTCAGCCTAGCTTCTTCATGCTGGGTCCTGGCAGGTCCTGGCGGGTCCCCCTCTCCATGGCTTCTCAGAATGTGGCTTTGCCATGGGATGTGGGTCCTCCACCTCTAGCAACTGCTTGTCTGGGATGTCCTGGCTGGTCAGGTCTCTGTGGTGTCCCCCAGCAGGCACCCAGGTGACAGCTTCTTAGGCCCACTCCCACACCCAGCTGCTCTCCGGAAGGCTTCCTGTGGGGGCAGGTGCCGGGCCGTGGTCCCACTCCCACCCCAGCCGGCGCTTTCTCACAAACCTCTCGGTTCTTGGGCGGAGCCTGGGTTACCAGCTCCGACCCCACTTCCACCAGGTGGTGATTCCCAAGACCGCATACTAATGGGCCTTAGTCCCTCTGAGCAGATCTAACGGTGCATCTGGGAACAGGGTGGATAGTTTTCTGTCTTTTCCAGGAGTAGCCTGGGTTCTCACGCACTAGGGCCCGCTCCCTCTACTGTCATCAGCTTCGTGGGGCCTTCGGCAGGGGCCACCCTGACTGAGTTACAGAAGGTCTTTTCCCCCTTCTGTCCTGTGCACTTTCTAATTCTCCACTGAGCTTTCTCAAGGAAAGCCTGTCCACGCGGTGTTGAGGATCTGAGCGTTGGAGGGTTTGTTGCCGAAGCCCGGACGAAGCAGAGGCTGGCGTGCAGTTTGAGACAGGCCCAGGGCCTTCCTCTTACTGGGCGGTCATCTGATGAGCGAAGTCCCGTGTGTGCAGGATGGATGGGCACAGGCTTGTTTTTCTTTTTGGTACATATACGTTTGTGTTTCTTTTTCTTTTTCTTCACTTTTACTCGTGTCCTTTAGAATTCCTTTTGTTGCAACTGCAGGAAAGCAGAACCTAAACAGGCTTAAGCAAAAGGGACTACGGGTGGTTAATGAAAGCTGCAAAGTTCAGCAATGATTTGGCTTTAGCGTGGCTCGACCTCGAGGACGAGTGGCCCCCGAGAGCCACTTCCCCTCTTAGTCCTGCAGCTCTCCCATTCCTCAACTCCTCGCAAGAGGACAGCGGAGGGTGTATACCCGGTTCCTGTGCTGGGCGGAGCAAAAACTTCCTCCTCAGGAAGAACCAGTGAGCCGCAAGGTCCTGGTGGGAGCTTCCACCCACACTCCAGCCAGTCACTAGGCCAGGGCATGCAGGGCCCTGATTGGCTTAGACTCCTGGAGTGAGCGTGATGTTCCTTAGGCCCACTCCCACACTCAGTACAAGGCCCAGAGTCAGGTTGGATGGCCCCAAGGGAATCTAGGCCTGAAGGCTAGGAGCAGATTCCGCTAAAGGATGGTGTAACTATCTTCCCAAGTCATGAAAAGTTTGAATGAACTTCGCTTTTAGGACAGAACACTATCCAGTCACACGGACATACTCTCGCTTACACAAATATTCTCCAACTCTAGGACCAGCAGACTGTTTTGTAAGATAATGTTACAGCACTGTTTTTATAGCCTCTGTTTAGTATTAGTTACCTAGGTCATCAGAAGTGGAATACCTAGGCCAGAGAACATGCAAATGTTTACAAAGCTCTGGGTAAACATTCCTAAGCTGCTTTCCTGAACGGTTAATCACTCCCTCCACTAGTGGAGCCAGAAGGCAGTGTCACACCCCCCTCACTGGTACCTCTTCCTTTTTCTTTTTTCTTAAAGAAGAAAGCTTTTTTATTTTTATTTTATTATTATTTTAAAAAGCATCCTAATATTTATTCAGCAGTGCACAGCACGTAAAACCATAACATCACCAATGGTTTCGCTGGGTTACAGCATACAGTTTGGACTGCAGCTCCAAGGAGGTAAAGCGGAGGCAGAGGCCTGATCCCGCTGCTGGGGGACAGAGCTGGGGATTTTGCTGGTGTCCAGGGGAAGGGCCAGAGGACAGACGCCCGGTGCTCTCATACGCATGTGGCACTTGGCAATGAGCCTGGCGTGTGGCAGTCACTGTTCAGGCTGTGCTTGCTCTTCCCATCAGCACCGTTTCCCTTCCCTCCACCCCAGGGCAGCTCTGCCCTTCCCGCCCAGAGCCTGCTTTAGTGGGGCTCTCGATCAGGAACGCCTCACCCTCCACTCCAGGTCTTCCACCTAGGCTAGTCCTGCCAGCCCTGAGGGCCTGCTTGTGACACCCTCCAGCACACAGCCTCTCTGCATGCATAGCAGCACTCTGTGAGGCCCATCTGACAAGCACTCAAAGGGCCCCAGGCCTGCTGTCTGCACTGTGCACTGAGCCCACCCTGCCTTCACAGTTCACGGCTGAGGCTCTCTGGGCAAGCCCCCGCTCACTTCCGCACAGGCCCATGGATAGCTGTAGGTGCTCCGTGGCCGTGCAGGGCCGCTGAATTCTGCCAGTGCCTGCCAGCTCAGCCTTGTTCTCTATCCCCGATGGCCACTGTGGTATTCCCATGCTGTGGTGATTTCTAACCAAAGCCTCCACGGCATCGTCCCTCCCAGGACTTGTGAGTTACCGAAATCAATGCTGACGCCGAGGCAGACTGACTTGTCGGTTCATTTCAAGGACCACCGGAGCTCATCCCACCCAAGGACACGAACCGACTTTATGGATGTGAGAAATGGTCCACCTGAGCTTCTGTGCCACGGCGGGCTCTGGGGTTGAGCCCCTTCCTCTGCTCCTGCGAAGGGAGCAGTTTTATGAGGGAAATACTGAGTGGGGGAGGGAGACAAGGCATCTACTCTTTGAAATAGAGGGATTCCATCCAGGGACATCTCTACAAAGAAACCTGTTCTCGGGGCGAGGCCCTGAAGCAGCAGCAGCACTTGAGAGTGGTGGGATTCAGTCTTAGCCTGAATCAGACAGCTCCAGGCTGGGGCCAGCAACTCGTGGCAAGCCCTCCAGGGGTTCTGATGCACGCTTGAGTTTGCACACTGGCTGGACAAGAGGGAAGTCATATAAGCCTCTCGTGGGGAAACGTGTGCTCTAGTGCCCGGAGTGCTGACTCAGCAGAGGTGACGTCATTGAGTAAGTCAGCATGTTCATTCATTCTCGCGCTCACCTGCCTGCCTCGGCTCGCACAAACCAGACTGCCGGGAGGGATGGAGAAGGAAGCTTAGAATCTATCAGACTTGAGAGAGCAGGGCCAGAGGCAAGGTGAGGGACCAAAGTGTGGATGAACACCAGCACCCTGGAGAGAGAGGGAGCAGGAACAGAAATCTGAGGACCCACTAATGTGTGAAGGGTATTATGCTTCCAGGGTTTGGTAAATGGAAACAGCCTTGAACTCTAAACTTGGACCTTCTGGTGCACAGCTCACAGCCAGAGCTGGCGAGCTGGGCCCCCTCCTGGTCTGCCCACCGAACCCACCTGCAGTCCTAGGCATGCATGGGCTGCCACCTTTGCACAAGCTGGTACCGGTGACGTCCTTAGCCTACCAGCCAAGGCCGGCTCTTCCTGGCTGGGCCCAAGGTCAGCCTCTCTGTGGGGTCTTCTCCATTCTGCCCCTCTAGAACGCACTCATTCCTCACCCCATGGCCGTCGAGGCGGGCCCAGTGACCAGGGAAGCCCCCGAGTGCCTTCCGCCCTGGTGCAGCACCAGCCTCCCGCAGCGGCTGGGCTGGGGAGGATCCCCCAGCCTGCCTTCCCCACCCTGCTGATCCAGAAGTGAAGACTCAGAGGAGTTCCAGGCATTCAAGAGATCCAGAAAGTCCTCTAGAAACTGCAGACACCAGGAAGAAAGAGAACAAACTGTTACGGGGTATCAGTTTGCATCAAAAACGAGAGGAGACAGTTTATGAGAAAAGTATTGAGTAGGGGAGGGAGACAAGGGACCTAATATCTGGAACAGAGAGGGTTGGAGTCCTAGGAACCCTGAGTATTTTGCGTATTGGCTACTGTATACATCCTGTGGTGTCCGGAGGAGGGTCAGGCTCGGCAAACCAAGGAGGAGCTCGCAGGCAGCTTGCACGGCCCAGCAACCCACTGCAGCTGGCAGGCTCAGGTTAGGCCTGTGCGGGCTCCCTGGGAAGGAGGGCCCCTCTCCAGCAGATCTGCCCAGGCAGCAGCGTGTGCCCACCAGGGCAGCTGTGCCCACCTGCATCCCAGGACCACTGGGTGCCCTCAGGACACATGCAGCAGGGCACCTGGCTCTGGCAGCTGCCCCAGGTCCCCCTTGGGGACATGCTGTCTAGCTTTGCTCAGTGGCCGCCGCAGCCTTCTTCAGAGGTGCCTGGGCTTCTGGAGCCCCCGAGGCTGCCCTGGCAAAGGCCCAGAGCCTGGGGGCTCCCATTTCCCCACCTGGAGGCAGCCTTGCCTCAGAACTGGCCTCACTCCGAAGGACCATCCAAGTTCCAGGGCTCTGCACGGGTCCCGACAGGCCTGGGTGCCCCTGGCCTCCTCTGCCTCACTCTGGCCTTGCCGTGCCTCCTGGGAGGCTCACAAATCCCTGCACAGGAGCCTGCTCTCGAGGGTGGGCCAAGATGGACGCGTGGGCAACTTCTCTCCTTCGACATCCCCTCCCGGAGAACTGCTCCCGGCTTAGCGGCCTCCTCTGACTGAGGCGGGGGCCAGAGCATCCTCTCAGGGCCTGGGGGATGGGAGCGTTACACACCCGCCTCAAAGGGGCCAAGGTTCTCTTTCAGAAATGCTGGGCAACCAGCTTCAGGCACCCCCGTGAGCTTTGTAAGCGTGGGGCACGGGGAGCCCTCTGGGAGTGCCGTCTAGAGCCTGAGCTGCAGGCCCGTGTTCCTACAACAGGCAGAGAGAGGTGCTGGCACGTAAGCCACCCAGGCCCTCACCAATCCCTAGGCCCCAGTCTGTCAGTGTTCGATCCCCTCTCGCTTGGACTACCCCAAGTCCCAGCTCTCAGACCTGGCCACCATGGCTGTTAGACACTTCCTAATCCATGACTCCCTGAGACTGGGGCTGTGAGGAAGCTCCAGGAGGCCACTGTGCCTGCCTGGGGTGGGGATCACAGGACAGAGTGGGTGGGGCAGGCCGCTGGAAGGCTTGGGGGCTTAGGACAGACTCAGACCATCGAGATGGTCTGGGGGCCTCTGCAGATCCTAAAGGGAGGGGGTGTCCTAGCAGCCATCAGATCTTGTTCCTACCCACCGAGGGGATCGAGTAATACTTTGGAGTGGGTAACATTCTTTTTCTTGAGATACCGTTATACCTTTAATTTATTAGCTTTCCATAAAAACACGTAACACACACACACTCTACAGAATAGAAAGTATAATTTACAAAAATATAAAATCTTGGTTATTTTTAGTGCTCCAACATGTTACTGTATGTGTTATTTCAGTACACAAACGACCCACGTTTATCAGCATGGTTATCTCCTTCAGGGGCCATGGTGTCAACGCCCTTGTTTTTGTTTTAAAATAAGATTTATATTAAGATAAGGAAACCCGCAAGGCTATACGTGCATACTGTATGGATAAAAGCGTCTGCAGTGGCCTTGAAAGAACACGCCCACTTAGACATCAGGTAGGCCTGGTGCTCCCGTGTCCATGTGCGGCCCACGTATCTGGACCCGAGCCTTTACACAGAAGAGCTTCTCTCCTTCCGAAGGGGGCCGTCCCCAGGTTGGCATAGTCACCCTCCTGGGCCCGGAGTCGATGATCCGTGAGGCCGGCACGGTGGCACGCTGGGTTTTCGTGCCTTCGGAGCAGTGAGTATAAAGGGTGGGTAAACTTTCAGGCCAGGGATTCCCTCAGGGCCCCAGGCTGCCACGGAGGGGCTCAGTCCCTAGCAATGAGAGACCCCAGAATGGCGTCCCTGCAGGCAATCTCGTGGGCCCAGTGAGGATGCCTGAAACCCGTGCCCTGCATCGCAGGCTCGCCCGAGGCAAGTACTGGCTCCAAGCCCACTCTGCTGGGTGCTGGGTGGGTGGAGGCTCCTTCCACCCTGCAGCGGCCTTACCGACAGGCACAGGTCTCCACAGACATGTTGGGGTACACTTTCAGGACCACGTTCCGGTTCTCATCCAGGAAAAGGACCCCCAGGGAGTTCATCTTGTCGGGGACGCAGCAGGGCTCTGGGATGCCGGGGACGATACCCACGGCCCTGACGATGCTCTGAATGGTGGCGTGGTTGGACGGGCGGACGACCTGCAAGGCAGGAAGGGGCAGGGTTACTCAGCGCAAGGCCCTCACCCACCCCTGCTGTCTACACACCCGCCGCCGTCCTCCGCCTAGGTTGTGGGAAGGCGACGGCCTGGAAGGGGCGTGACCCCAAGGTTGGACGCAGTTGTGCTTGGAGCTAGCTACAGACTGCGTGCTCTGCAGCCCAGGCCTTCCATCCATCCTGCCTCCAGGAGGGCTGCTGCATCCCCTCCATGACAATGGCCACGTGGGGGCGCAAGCGTGCCACACATCCCTGAAGAGTGGCCAGGCAGAGCAACCGCCTGGGAGGTGCTGAGCCCCAGCTGCCCGCCGCCCAGGGCCGCCAGGGCTGCCAGGGAGTGCTGGCATGCTGCCCGTGACCGTGTTCCCATCCCCGCAGGGAGGCCTGGCGTGTGCGTGTGCTGGAGACAATGTCCCAGACATGAAAGACTTCATGGAGTCAGGTATGGCTTCACCTGCACACCCCATTCGTCATCTTCCTGGTTTTATGGGATATGGCAAGCCATGGTGGTGCAGAGATAACCACTGTCCACCGTGCCGCAGGCACACGAGAAGGTCCCAGGTTCACGTCCGGAGGTATCCCCGTGCCCCTGGATGTGGGCGTGCGTGCTCGGGAAGTCTCCCTGTGCCCCTGAGGGTGTGTGCCCATGACCACAGGTGGCTGAAGGTGGGTGTGAGTCACAGCACGAGAGCCGTGTTGGGGGTGCCTATCTCTCTCTGAAATCGATCATTTTTACAGGGTAGACATAACTTTCATTTTACTGGTGAAGACGCTGAGGTTAAAACGACCAGCCTGGGCTAGCCTGTGGCCTGGCGGTTAAGGTGGCTGGATCCCACATGGTCCGCCTCACACAGTGAATCTTGGGGGCTTGAGAAACATGTTGGATGCATGCGTGCCTAAAAACATCCCACGAGGAGGAGAAAGGATTGTGTCATGACCATCGCCAGGGAGGTGCGGTCTCACTTTCCCTGCCCTCTAGCAGAATTAAAAATAAGCCCCAGACAAAAAAATCCTGACTTGACAAGACTCTTCCACCAGAAAGGGCTGGACACTGCGCCCATCTATGACAAAGTGAAGACAGCGGGTCACCCACGGCAGCCAAGCACCAGCCAGAGCCGTACTATCACTGCATTTGGGGAGGCCCTCCTGTGCGGGGAGGCAGGGGACACGGACGGACAGAGACAACTGCTGGCGTCCTGGAGAGGAGAGGCAGGGAGCGGGGTTGCTACGGTCAGCATATACGGTCAGCCTGCAGGGAGCCTGCATCTGCCAGACCTGCGCTCAGTCCTTCCACACACCGTCAGCTCGCCCCTCCACCCCAGTACACACCTGGCTTTGAAGAGAAGCCCCAATTCCCAAACAGGGTCCTGCCGCCCCAGGTCCGGGTCTGGGCTTTCCTCGTGGGCCGATTTATTTCTGTTGGAACTGGATTTATGCAATGATTCCTTTCTTGGAGGGAAAGGCCTTGTCTGGATTCAGAGTAGCTAAGCAGGAGGAGGCTGCGTGGTGGGTGCCGCAGGCCAATGACAGGTAGCCAGGTGGCCACAGCACAGGCCACAGCGGGCTGGACGGAGAGAGCCACAGCCCAGCCTGGACAGAAGGAGAGTGTGGAAAGCCAGGGCCAGAGCAATGGGTGACATGGCCTGGTGCTCGCGTCTGCAGTGACAGCCAACCGCCCCGGGGCCCTACCTAAGCTGGAGAGAGGAGGCAGCCCACGCCGGGGAACTACAGAGGCTGCCACAGCCTGGTCACACACACCTGCACCTTGCACCTTGGGGATCAGGCCAGCAATAGATACGAGGGCCTCCACCAGGAGGGGCTTCTGGGACCCACCTTGTCCAGGTGACTGTGGGTAGCTACAGATAGTTGCTATGTGGGAATGCCCTTCTAAGGAGATGGGGTCTCCTGCTTCTCAAAATAAATATTCTGATTACGAAATTCCAATTCAACCAAGTGGGCACCTTCAAAAGCAGAGCGCCACCAAAGACACCTGTGGCCGCTTCCGCCCTGGCCGCCCGCTGCTGCCCCCGTGGCCTCTGCCTACCTCTTCTCTGCCTGGACTCATGGGGCTGTTCGGACGATCTTTCTGCAGATGAGAAACAGGCCGGTCGTCACAGGGCCTCGCCAGTGGGGCAGGGCTGAGTCAGAAACAGACCACGCGGCTCGCTCGTGCCACTCGCGCACACCCTACCTTGGGCATGGGGAACTCGCAAGCGCCCGCGCAGTAATAGGCGTCGAAGGATTTGGGCGAGAGGACCCACTCGCTCCAGCCGATGTCTGCGAAGTCCACCTTCAGGTACCTGCGGGAGCACACCCTGGGCTCGTCCCACTGCTTCCTCCGCGCTTTCTGCATCGTCTTCTCGTCGAAATCCAGCACCTGCGAGGAGCCCAGGAACGTGTCCTGGCCCTTCTTCCTGCGGTCCTTGCGCCCGGGCCGCGGCTTCAGCGCCCGGAAGGGGCTGGGCCAGAGCTCGTGCTTGTGGTAGTGGTGGGCGTGGGGGGCGTGAGCCGGCCTCTCGTCCAGCCCCGGCAGCTCGTTGTCCAGGAGGGGGCCAGAGACCTGCGCGGCCCTGCGCACGCGAGGGTCTGCTGAGCTGTTGGGGGCTGCGCGGGGCTCCGGGTCCCCAGCTGGGAAGGGGTCGTACCGCTGCAGCGTCACGGCCACGCTGTTGGGCTCGGCGATGGCCAGGTCGTTGGCGTAGATGAGGATGTAGGGTCCGCGGGGGCTGGGCTTGGGCACCCCCAGCTCCTTCTCCCCAGAGTCCAGCTGAGCAGAGAGGAGCAGCTCCCCGTCCCCCCGGGCCCTCGCGGAGATGTCCTTGGCCTGCCACAGGCCGCGTGGCGGAGGCACCAGGGTCATGGCCCCCCGGAGCAGCCCCTGCGTGGCCGAGTTCTGCGAGAGGCTCCGAAACAGGAGGTGCTGGCGGGCCGGCGGGCCAGGGGGCAGCAGGCGGCAGGACGCATTCTTGGCCCGCGGTGGCTTGCACATCGCCTCACGCACCTGGGGCCACCGTGGCGGCTCGGTGTAGAAGTGGAAGGTGGCAGTGAGGATCATTTCCGAGTCCTGCATGGAAGTCAGGTTGAAGAAGTACATGGCCTTCTGGTCGACCACTTCTGCGAGGGAAGGACAGACCACAGCCTGTTAGGTGGTTTCCTGGATAGGTCCCATGCCAGGGGGTCTCCCACCCAGGGCTGGAGGAGGAGGCCACCAACCAGGCACTGCCACCAGGGGGTGAGGAATGCCACTGCCTTTGCGGTCCTCATCCCCTGCTACCCTCACATTAAACTGATGGGGGCGCCCTTTGTGATGCTCAATGAACTGGTGAAGAACTGGGATCACAGAGGGTGGAGATTATCAATATCCCACTGCAAAAAAATTTTTTAAAAGAGAACACACAGGGTAGGCACTCAGGCCTGCAGGATCAGACCCTAAAGCTCCTGTTTCTCCTCCCTGCACCGGCCTGGCCCTCAATGAATAAACCAGTAAACATCAGGACACCTCCATTGCCGGCTGGGGATGGGTTGCGTTGGGTCCCAGCTCTGCCTCAGGGCAGCCCCTCTTGAATTTGTACATTTCTGTTTTATGAAATCAGTTTTTAAAATGCAATTCTTAAGTGCACTCATATTAAATGCGACTATTCTTTCCAATGAGTGACACCTGTAGATGTCCACACTTTCCATTGCAATCCGAACACGCTTCTAAGGAAGCGCCCACCCATTTGGACACCTGCTGTTCTTGTTTTGCAGCGAGCAGTGTCAGGATCACGCAAGGTCCCCAATCTCCAAGGTCCAGGCTGCTCTTGGCGGCCTGAACCTGGTAAGGACCAGGACCCCTCAACCATCACACCCACAGCTTGCCTTGAGAATGCCCCTCGCCTGGCTCTGCAGCTCTGGGAAGGTCCCAGCCTTGGCAGTACGAGCTCTCTAGGGTGGCCAAGTCTTCTCTGGGCTAGGAGGGAAGCGGGGTCTTTCCTGGTGCCTCCTGTGACTCTGCAGACCAGCAGACTGGGTCAGCTCCTCCCTCTACTCTATTTCCCGCTGACATCCTGCCACCAGGTGTCCCTGTGCTGGGTAGACATCGGAGAGGGACAGAGCTCCCGGCCCAGGAGGTGTGTGGGGGGCACTGGGCTCCCCAAGGCTTCGGCCAGGATTCCACCTCTCTGACACGTGTGTCCACAGGATCAGCTGCGGTTTTGTATTTTAACCCAAATCTTCAGTTCAATGTTCCTTGTTTCTCTTGGGAGGGAGAACTCAATAGAATTTTCATATATTCTTGTGGGACTGGGCATGGAGCGAGGGAGCAGCAGGCTGGTGGCGGGCACAGTAAAGGCCAGCTGGGCCCAGGCATACTCTAAGATGCTGGCTGTCATATCCTCAGGACGAACCACGAGAAGGTGAGAAGGTGAGAAGGCATCACGGCCCCTCCACTGCTCCACACACAGGAAGCAGGGCGGGTCTCCAGGCACATTGACACGTGGCTTCCCCAGACCACATGGCCTGGAATGTCAGTCTCTTGAGTCCAACCTGTTAACCAGCACCCCACTGGGAAGCCCCCAGAGCTGAGGCCTTACTTAATGCAGGGGCTTTGATCTGCAGCATCTGGGTGAAAGTCCCCAGCTATGCGGCACTGACCCTTCCACGGTCGAGACCTCCCCCAAAGCCAAGCTTCCAGTCCTCAGGGGACCAACCACGCTGAGGTTCCCTCATCTGCTTCACAGGGACTACAGAATGGCCTTCTCACACGGTTCAGGAGAGTTTGTGATAGCACGTGTAAGGTGCCAGGCACATCTCCCAAACGTGCTTCCCCGCCATTTCGGTCTAAAGGACTATGGCTGACAGAGCCAGCGCCTCCTGCTCCCCAGTCCCCGCGCGGAGCCGTGACCTAGTTCCCACGGCGCACGTGTGCTTCCTATCTTAGCCCAAGTCTCAACTGATCGAGAGCCCTGCTCACAGATTCAGGTGGGGAGGGGCCTCAGCAGTCATGCCAGAGGGTGCTCACTCCTCCCTGCTGGGAACCGCCAAGGTTGGGGTGGGTCACCTCCATCCCCAGCGCCTTCTAGAAGCACCTGAGTGATGCAGTGCAGGGGGCTGCAGACTGCGGCTAAGAGAAGGGGCATCTGTCTGAAGTCTCCAGCTTTGGGGAGCCAGGCCACAAAGGAGAGGCCCCACAGAAAAGACCCATGAGCTGTGCGGGTACCCAGCTTCATGCCTCCTTGGTAGGGAGAAGAGACCCTCCTGTACTTCCCGCCCTTCTCTCCTTCCTCCGTTCTTCCATCCTTCCTCCCTTTCTTAGTAAACATTTGCAAAACTCCTACTCTAGACAAATGTTGGGTGGGCTGGGGTCCCAGCAGAGGTGGTCGGGGATGCCCTGGAGGAGCTCAGTTTAGTGGGAGACGCACGGTAACAGTGACAACTCACGCTGCAGTGCCCCGTCATGTGTCTGCACAGCACTGCCCCGAGGAGGTCCCGGGGAGCTGGGTGCGTTTCCGGTCACAGGTCGCTGCCATCTCAGTTTTTCAATGCCGCCAAGTTAGCACAGCCCCTTACCAGGGCCCTTCTTGAGCTGGCCTGCCTGCCTGTCTGACTTCCCCTCCTGTCCTGCCCACTCTGGCCCTCTGCCCCAGGCATGGCCGTCTTGTCCTTACACGTGTGTGGCTCCCGGCTCCCCTTATTCGGCCATTCCTTCTACCTTCATGGCTCTTCTCTCAGGAATCACCTGGGCCTGCTCCCGGTCTCTGCTCACATGATGTCCCCAGCAGAAGGCCCCTTGGTCCCCTGTCCACTCCTGCGATGTCTGTAAAGCACGTCCTCACACCCCGCTGTACCTGTTTGTCTAGCACTTGTCTTTCCCCGAAACATAAGACCAAGAAGACAGGGGCTTTGCTGGCTTTGTTCACTCAGTCCCTGGAGCCCCGCACAAGCCCAGGTAGCAGCTGGCACTTGAAAACAGGGGCTTCTGTGGCAAAGCCTACACAAGGGGTCCATGCACTTTCATGGGCAGAGAAGGACAGAGGCCCTGGGGTCTGTCCTCCTGCATTGACAACCGAGGGTTCTGGGCCTGCTGCTCTGGAGAGCAGTAACCGCATCTGTGCCAAGCCCTGAGAGCCTCGTTCTTCAGAAAGATGGAGCCGATGATGCAAATCTGTCTGGAGACCCTGGGCAGCTGAGTCTCCCCTTGAGCCTCAGTGTTCTCATGTCTAAATGGGAATAACGCCACGTGCTGGTCAGGAGCCTGTGCCCGGAGCACGCACTCTCGGCCCTGTGCTGGTGCTCCTCGGGCATGAGCCATCACCTTCACGGTGGGCGAAGCGGGCAGGTCGCTCATTCTACGGACCACAGGCTGGAGCTTCAGAGATGGGATAATTTGCCTAACGCCTCATGGCTGGTAACAGGTAGAGACAGGGTGTGTACCCAGCTACCCAGCTCTGCCTGAGCCCCAACACTCACATACGATCTCTGCTCCCCTAGGAGCTCCAAAGACCACCTGCTGTGAATTGCCACATGTTTTGCAAGCACACGTCATTATTTGGATAGTTTTGAGTTCTGACTGTCCGGGAAAACAGGACTAACTTTACTTAGACATGCTGACTGTCCTACAGGTCTCTGCAGTTCTCAGAAGCCTGACCAGGTCCACCCCCCGTGCTGGGCTTCAGCCTCCTTCCTGAGGACAGCAGGGACAGACTGCGGAAAAGGGTCTCCTCACCCAATGGTTCCTATGGGCCGACGTTCAGACCAGAGCAGCCCCTTGGAAAGTTCTGTTCTATAGGAACAGAATCCAAGCCACCTGGAGGTTTGTCCCTTCATCCACTGCCCCTGAAACCATTTCAGGGTGACCAGAGTGAGAACGCAGATCTGAAAGTACAAGTTCCGACACTGCGGAAGGAAGGAAGGGAGCGGCGGTCCCCGTGCTGCACAGTGATCCCAGGGACAAGTCGCCCCCGCATCGCACCCACGCTTCAGCAGCGCGTCGTCCTTGACATGGAGGGTTAAAGCCCTTCCTATATAGAGGACCTCTGCAGCTCAGCAAGAGACAGACAAGAGGCGCGAATGAGGAGGCGACGTCCATGAGAGAAGATGCCAATGGCCAGAGGGCAAGACGAATGGTTCAGTGTAACGAGGAACGAAAGTCAGTTCCCATGAGGACGTCTGCGTGCCGACAACGCAATCCCATCACGGGAAAACAACGGCAAAGCGCGCGGGTTAAAGATTCTGCATGTGTGTACATACGTGTGTGTATACACACAGACACACAGACACACAGACACTCCATATCTGGGGCCGGAACGAGTCTACCAAAACACTGCATTAGCTCTGGTTCTGGCTAGGTGTATGATTGTATAATTGGGGATGATTTATGCTCTTTACTGTGGTTTTTTAAAGATTTCCAGATTTTCCACAGTAACCATGCCTCTCTTTCTTCTTTTCTTTTCCTTTCTTTCCTTTTTTCTTTTTCTTTTTTTTTTTTTTTTTTGTGTTATAGGGTGCATGTGCTCACTGCAGCAAAAGACAGAGAGAGAGGGGAAGTGAGAAATCACCTCCAAGGGAAGATGGCCACACCACAGTCTCTTCTCCTCTATTCTTTCCTTGGGATCTTGGGCATGCATGCACACCCGCCCAGTGTGATTTTCAAGGCACAGGGTCTCAGCCTCAACCAAGGTTGGCCATGTGGGAATCCAGCGCCTTAGCCACCACGCCACCTGCTGGCCCTATGCATTTCTTTCATAACCTCTCTCCCCTCTCTCCCTCCCCCACCCCCTCCCTCTTTCAGGTAGTCATACTATATACTGCCCCGCTGCATACAGGCAACTAGTACTTCTCAAAGGTCTCAACAGCCTGGCTGCAACTTGCTTATCCACCTCCACCTGCCCACTCTCCTCACATTATTTCTCAATTAAAACAGATTCCCTGCAGTTCCGGGAACAGGGTGTGCTGTTTCACTTCAGCACCAGCTAAACCCCAACCGCCCTTCAGAGTCAGCTGGGGCTGCCCCGTGCTACAAAGACTGCACCGGTTCCTCCCATTGCCGCTCTGCTGGGCCCACACTGCCCGCCCTGCTGGGCCTGTGCTGCCCTAGGGTCTTCCACGGAGCACCCCGAGCCTCCCTGGCTCCACATACCACCTGTCCCCTGCCTATTCTTCCATTTGCTTCTACCCACCCTGCCAGGCTGTGGCTGTCCTGGGCAGGGCAATGTCTGTCTGTGTCTTTCAGGTGTACAGCACGTGGCACCGAATGAGGTACTAGGAGAAGCTGACATGAACTTGCCTTTTGGCATTTTGGACAGATGGGTATATATTATTTCCTTTTAGAGAGGAGGACAGCAAGCCGAGAATCACAGTGGTAGGGGAAAAGCTTAGATTTTTTTTTTTTGGAGAGATTTTCGCTATAGGGTGCGTGCGCTCGCCAGACAGACAGAGAGAGACATAGAGACAGAAAGCGAGAAATCACCCCCCAGGGGGGATGGTCACGCCGCAATCCCTTCTCCTCCATTCTCCTCTCGGGATCTTGGGCACGCACGCACACGCATCCGGCGTGAGTTTTAAGCCACCGGGTCCGGGACGTGAACCGTGGTCGACTATGTGGGAGTCCAGCGACATAGCCATAACGCTAACTGCTGGTTCCCGGAAAAGCTTAGATTTGAACACAGGTCGTCCCATAGGAGCCTGTGGGAGCGGGTGGACTAACCTTAGCCCCTAGGGCCAGGCTCAAATGCTCACTCCACCGGTGCGAACTTAGAAGGAACACTGGCACTTTGGGGAGCAGTGGAGGGGCGGAGCCGGAGCAATAGAGTAAGGGCTGGTAACTGGACACTTGCATGTGCCAGAGCAGGCGAAGCACTTGACATCCCAGCCCATTTCTTTACAAAGCCTCCAAGGAAGGGATTACTGCTAGCCCTATTTTAGAAGTGAAAAACACTGAGTCATGGACAAGCGTAGCCCCTTGCCCAGATCATGGAACTGGGGCGTGGACCACACCAATCCCGGTTCCAGCCTGCGCTGGGAGCCTGAACTCTGCTGCGTGGAGGCTGCAAGATACTTGGTAATGCGGCCGTAGACACGTCACGAGAGGTGCCAGCCCAGGGAGGCAGCGGGGACCCTGCAGCCTGCAGGTACCAGGTGTGCTCCAGGGCCAGAGAGAAGCCACCCCCATTTGGGGTCTCATCCCATGCTGGCCAGCCTCACACCTGCATCTGCCAGAGAGCCAGAGAGAGAAACAGAGAGAGACAGGGAGAGAAAAAGCGAGAAATCATCTCCCGGGCAGACGGCCATGCTGCAATCCCTTCTCCTCCATTCTCCTCTCGGGATTTTGGGCACAAGCACCTGGTGAGTTTCAAGTTGCTGTGTCCAGGACTCGAACCGCTGTCAACTACGTGGGAATCCAACAATATAACCATTACTCCCATCTGCTGGTTCTGCCCCATTTCCCCTTTCCTGCAGCACTACAGGGGCGGCACTGGTCCGCCCTGTCCGTTTTGTAGCTGAGTACCCTCAGTCCACATAGCTGCAGTGATTCACCCAAGGTCATGTTCATGCCAAATAATTCTTAAGTGGTTAATTTAATAATGCTACTCCAAAAATGGACCCCAGGCGATACATAGCAGGTTCCGGGAAGGATGGAGTTAGAGCTGATTGGGCCAGAGCCCAGGGACCCGCCAGGAGAGTCTGCTCAGTGGGGGACAGGGGGACCAACCCTCTCTGCAGCAGATGCTCCCCAGTTCCCTTAGGTGAGGCCAATCTCCCACGTTTGGCTCTGAGGCCACGGAAACTACCCCCAGTCACACAGCCAGTGGGCAGCACAACTCCAGGTTGTCTGGCCCCAACTCTGTTTCATTCCCCTCCACTTCAGGAGGGAAGCCTGCAGACGAAGAGTTTTTCTCCCGATGAAGGAACTCCCGCCTTCCCGCCTCCAACCCCCAGGACTGCAAGAGACCCCTACCCACATTTTCTGGAAAGGCATTCTGCAGCTATGAGGAGTCACCATGACAACCAGGGTCTTCCCACCACCCTGCCACACAAGCCGCACCTCCTGTCTGCCCAGGCCCTGCCAGGCAGCCCAGTCCCGGCCAGCTGCAGAGCTAGAGGCCAGGCACTCTCCTGGCACAGGGCTGGCCTCTGGCCAGGGCCCCCGAGGTGTGAGAAAGGGGGAAAGGTGGGGCAAGGGTAAGAGAGGGGGGTGGGTGCTCCCCTGCCCAAGCTTCTGGACCCTCCTCAAATCCCTGCAGCCTGAACACTTCAGTCTGGTCCCTGGAAGCCTTCGAAGGGTCCATGTGCACCCACCGCCATCCACACTGCTTCCTCTGCCACTAAACCACGAACTGCCCCTGTTGGAAGCTGTGCCCACTGCCTGGGCTGGGCACCTTTGGGACCAAGGTCCAGGGCTGCCTCGTGTCCACCTGCCCTCCTCACCCACTGATGCCCACACACCTGCCCTGTGACAGGATGTCTCCCAGGTGCCATCTGCACCCTGTGCTTAAGGCCTTGCCTGTGGGTGGCCTGTCACCAGCACGTGAGGGGCACCTGGAGACCGATGCCGCTAGGTGCCTCCTAGTGACCTGCCGGTTCACCGCATGGTGAACCTTTAGGGAATCCTTAGTGAAAGAATGAATGAACAAGCCAAAATGGAGAAGAGAGAGGTGCAGGGGTGGGGAGGACAGGTAAGTGAGGAAGAGAGGGGGGCTCGGGGGCACCCTTCACTTACCCATCCGGGCCCGGAAGCTGCGGACCGTGTTGCCCCCTCCAGGACGCGCGCCCTGCCTGCTGTACTTCTCATAGAGACGGAGCATGTGCACAGCGACCATGTCCTGGGCGCTGGGGCCCAGAGCGGCGACTGCGTCCCCTGCGGACCCGTGGGAGTCCTGGTCCTCGCGCAGGCCACGGACCGCCGCGAGCGGCGCGGACCAGGCAGGGGCCGTGTGGCTGCCGCCCGCGGCCCTTTTCCCGGCGCCGGCAGCGCCAGCGGCAGCAGTCCGGGCCCCGAGCTCGGGCCCGTCTGGGTGGGACCAGGAGCCATGGCGGTGACAAGAGCGATTGGAACCCAGGAGGAAGAGCGAGAGTGCGAAGGCGCAGGAGGCGGCAGATAGACTCCAATGCGGGAGCGCGCGAGAAGCCCGGACGGCCAGGGGCGCGAGGCGCTGGGTACCGAGATCCGCGCAGGGCGCCGGGCACAGGCGGGTGGGCAACCAAGCGTATGGTCAGTCCGCGCTGCCCGAGCCGCGGGTCAGCAGTCACTGCGGTCCGGAGCGGCGTGGAGCCGAGCCGAACCCGAGCCGGCACGCTGCTTCTGCGGACTCGCGCCACGGAACTTTGCAGCCCACTGCGCGCCTAGCTCGGCGGGCTGGAGGGGCGGGGCGGGGCGGGGCAGCTGGCGGCGGCCTCCGCGG